AACGTGTGTGTGAATGGGTGGATGACTGGATATGTAAAGCGCTTTGGGGTCCTTAGGGACTAGTAAAGCGCTATATAAATACAGGCCATTTACCATTTATATATATATATATATTTGAATATTTACTTATTACTTGTAGTTACTGAAATTACAAAAAAGAACAAAAACCCCCTGCTTACTATTTACCATTTAAAATAAAAACAAACAAGTATGAAATAGATAACAGAAATATCTGTCAGCATATGCAGGTCCAGTTTAGAACAGAGCATCTTCAAAGCTGCGCTGTTTTAAAGTGGACCTGTGATTTTAATAAAGCAGGATATTGTATACAGTGGATAAGAGACGGTGAAATAACGGCATTGTTAGCAGAAGAAAGAGTCCCATCTCCTCTGTGTTTGTTGTAATCCAGTCTTCTCTGTTTGGTGTTGTGGTTGCTTCTCAAACTATGTTTCCCTTCCTTTCAAACTGTTGGTCCTTCCTGCTTTTATGAAAATATGGCAGTAAATATGATTGAGTTGTGAGTCCTCTGAAGGCTCCTTTTGGCCATGTATTGCCAGTTATTGTAGCGCACATCAGAGCTGTTTACTGCACGTTACAAAGCCATACTGATGTTTTGAGTTAGGAGGACTCAGTTAACACAATGTGGACATAGCTCTTTCAAAGTGGGTCTCCTCAATGTCAGAGGTAGTAGACCGGAATGACTTGGTTGACCAGGAGTTGTTGTGGTTCAGGACGTTAGGCCATCTGATCAGCAGGTTGGTGGTTTGAGTCCTGGCTGCTTCAGTCTGCATGCTAAAATGATTTGTTGGAGAAGTTCCTTGGACTGGCAACGTTAGTTAGAAAGTACTTAGACAAAACATAACTTTTTCAAATTAGATATATTGTATAAAGTACTTTGAGTCCTCAAGGGGAGTAGAAAAGTGCTCTGTATTTTATTTTGAAAGACTCACCCCTGTTCTTGAAGCACAGCTTCCTGCTGTGTTCTATAATAGATGCAGATCATTGTTCTTTTGTGAATGTCAGTCCTGACAGTCTTGCCTACTGTTTGCTGACAGGAAGCTCATTTTCATACACATATAGAGACTTTCTGAAGAGTCTGAATGTTTGTAAATGACAAAAAGCTATGTTGTCATTTTAAGGAATTAAAAAAAAATCTTTAAACTTTCTTTTCCACTTTGCTGTTATTTGCGTTGCCTCAAAATATAAACTTTTTTTTTTGCATTTTGAAGTACACCTACAAGAGAAACAGGGGTTCAAAAAGCAAAGTAAATGTCAGGTATATATGTCGTGATATCCTGCTGTGTCTTGTACCCCTGATATGACGCATGTTTAAGCTGCTATGCAGATCCTCACCGGATGTGCTTTATTTTGACAGCGGCGGGAGGAAATATTATTACCTGGTTCCTTGTAGCTTGACAGTGGCGACAGCGCAGAGCTGCAAGTGGAAAGTCAAATACATCTTTGCGCTTCTGGCTTTTTGCACAAAATGAGAGGAAATGCGAGTTTTTGCCTATGTGATCACAGCAGACACGAGTTTAGACCCTGATCGTGTGTGTGACTGACACGACTCTGAAACTGAAGCTGCACTTGTGAGAATTATCAGTTAATTGGGCCATTCAGGAACTGTAAAAAAGGAGGAAGACGAAGAAGTGATGGAGGACCCGTTACGAAATTAACCCAGAACTTAAAAAAATGACGTTGATTTTAAATAAGGCGGCTAAGAGCACGTTTTAAATGACCTACAACATTTAACTGAGATTCTTTTTTTTATTTTTATTTTGCTTTACCATGCGTAACAGATGGATACGCCGGAGGTTGCTTGTCTTAATTTTCACCTTCTTCATCATTCTCTACGTGGATTTTCAGCTTCGAACCAGCAGCCTTCCCAAAGTTATAGTGGTTCACCATCCATCACCCGGTGCGATCCACCACCGGACCATCCAGCAGGCTACCTTCCTGGTCAGGGACGTGCAGAACCCGGCGAAAAGTACCAGAAGCAGCGGCGAAACAGCATTGGCCGATGGAGGTCGCTCGGTGCCCGAGGACGCACATGTCAGCCAGCCCGAACTGAAGGTGGAGGACGTCTACATAGCTGTGAAAACCACCGGGAGGTTCCACAAGACGCGCCTCGCGCTTCTTTTGGAGACCTGGATCTCCAGAACCAAAGCGCACGTGAGTGTGATGTCTGTTTCCTGAAACATCTTACTCTTCTCATCACACAGCAGCTCGTGATTCAAGCAAACCACCAGATTTTTAAAAACGATTTAAACTCTCTCCTATATTTAGTAGAACATTCGTTTAAAAATATTTACGCAATCACAGGAAGCTGTTGATTTAAGCGAACCCGTGAACAAAACAGATAAAAGAGGAACTCCAATGCATTTATTAATCCTATAATGGTATGACAGAATGAAACTGATATAACACGTAAAGCTCAAGAGTTTAATTTCTTAGAAATATTTCAGGCAAAACAAAGAAGAAAAAAGTAAACATGTGATCTGTCAAACCATGTGCCATGACTCTAAAGATGAAGTGAAAACACTCACTTCCTTTCTGCTCTGGTGCTGCAGGTCTGATGGCTCATTAAAGTTAAATTTAGTTTCTTTTGTTTATCACTTCATGCTAGTCTTGTCCCACTAGCATGAAGAAAAACACCCCAAACAAACAGAGAGTAACATAAAGAAATCAGTTCTGTTTTGGTTTTACAGTCTGCACGTCTCACTTCACGACTATGTAAGGGTCTATTTTTAAATATTGGCATAGAGTGTCAAACCTGTTAGAAAGCCTGATCTGTGAGGTATTGGGTATTCAGCTTAAAAGTCTTTTGCTACAGCTCATCCAACATTTTGAACATACAACAGTGGTGGTACTTGTGGTGCAGAATTTCAAAGGGGTTTGGGACATTTTTTTTCACCCTTTTCCTTCATCTGGGTAATTTCTGTTACTATACTTAGAAAACTAGTTACTGGCATGTATACAATACAATATATTTATTTTTTCAGGAACATATCTATCTTATACTTCAGTGCCATCAGCCTAAAGATGTTTGAGTTGTCTTAACCTGACCTTTAAAATCAGACTTCCTTTAGGTTCTGGAAACAACCCAAGTTACTCTGAGTCGCTTGTATCGGCTTAGAGGTTTTCATTGACCACTGTGCCTGTTTGTGTGTCAGTGCTGTCAAATATGCAAGTCAGTGAGCAGTTTCACTATTTAAAATTTCAGGATTCTTCTATTTAAATACACACATACAGTGTACAGAATGTACATACAGAGTTCATTTCCTTTTTGACACCAGATGAAAGAGCTGAGGAAGCACATTTCTGTTAGCTTCTTTTCTTTTCACATCTCGGAGCGCTGAAAGACATTTTTAAAGACGCCTTGGTTTATACTCTTCCTCTTTCTCTTTGCAAACACAAAACAAAATGTTGCTTTAGCGTTTGTCGATGGTAGTGCCTGCACACACACACACACACACACACACACACACACACACACACACACACACACACACACACACACACACACACACAC